CCAAACCCCACTGTGTGTGACAGGGACAGCCCAGACCCCATTGCTGACAGGGACAGCCCAGACCCCACTGTGTGTGACAGGGACAGCCCAGACCCCATTGTGTGTGACAGGGACACCCCAGACCCCAGTGTGTGACAGGGACACCCTGCATTCCCAGTGGGGTGCAGGCTCATTCAGGCACCCCCAGCAGCCCCAGTGCAGCCTCCTGGGGCTGAGCTGCAGGGCCAGCCCAGCAGTGCCACGAGGAGCAGTGGCTAACAGACCTTTAAAGGATGCTGCATCACTCTCGGGGCTCCCAGACCTGGCTCAGCAGCACCCCTAAATGCCTTCCCCTCCCAGCCTTCCCCTGCTCCCTTGTATTTATCATCCGCAGAATAATGAGGTGTGAACAAGCTGAATTTATGGAAGAGAGCACGTGGCTCTATCTATGCCGTGGATAAACAAGTATTTTAAACTATCATTTTCCTGCTAACTCATAAAAGCAGGTTATGTGCCTGCTGTGTGCCTGATCTCCAGCTGGCTGAGCCCCTCCCTGTGCTCCTGGAAACAGCCTGGGCAGGAGCCGTGGGTCCCCAGCCTGGGGTCTGCAGGGGCAGGCAGGACAGCACAGCTCCCGTGCCAGCCCTGCCTTCCAGGGCACCCCTGCTGTGGGCACAGACCCCAGAGCAGCCCTGGCACCCCCAGCCCTGCAGGGCACAGCCTGGTCCCTGTGCCCAGGGGTGGGGGAAAGCTTCTCTCGGGCCACCCAGAAATGCAAGGTGCTGATTTCAGCCTCCCTTCACACCCAATTCCACCTCGCTGGCGTTGGAACATCCCTGAGCAGGAAGGGTTGAAAATCCCCGCAGAAGCTGGGGCTGCCCTGGATCCCTGGAACGCCCAGGCCAGGCTGATGGGGCTGGCAGTGCCTGGCACAGGGGGAGGTGTCCCTGCCATGGCAGGGCTGGGCTGGGACGGTCCCCAGGGGCCCTTCCAGCCCAAACCACGCTGGGATTCTGATTCCACAGCTGCTTCAGCTTTCTGTAACCCGAGCTGACACCGACAGCACTTAAACTGATATTCACACGCAGCATTTCATCTTTGCCAGGGAAGCAAAACTCCTCTTGTGATGCCACGTTTGTTGAAAATGCCATCAACGCAATGAAAATGCAGTTGTAGGTAATGGCAAAATATTCCTAACCTATGGAAGACGGGGTATAACTTTCTATTGCCTTAATGACAGGCACTAAAAGTCTGCCATAAAACCTTCCAGGAGCTCCACACCACCTCTTTTACAGCGCTGAGATGCATTACAGCAGAGCTGTTAGCACCCTGTGTGCCTGCTCAGGCTGTCGGTCCTGCTCTGCTCACAGGCTGTGCCCAGCACACGGGCAGGGCTGTCCTTCTGCCCAAAGCCAAGGTGGGCAGGGCCCCAGGGCTCCATCCCCACCTCTGCCACTTCCTCTGAAGATGCTTCACTCAATTGAAACATCAGAGTGAAAATAGCTGGAATTGTTTTACTCTTTGCATCTGTCTGTATCCTTGGTTTAGTTGTGACATTTGGCTGTTAGGCAGAGGTAATGCTTTAGGTATTTCAATTTATTCTGGCTGGCAACAAAGCTGCAACCCCCACTGTGTGTCAGGAGAAAAAGTCATGGAAAGGGTTGTAAAGCATCAGAACAAAGTGAGGTGGGGTCCCCATCGCTGGCAGTGCTCAGGAAAGGTGGGGTGTGGCACCTGGGGCAGGGACAGTGCTGAGGGGATCCCTGCACTGGGTGAACCCAAAGCCCTTTTCAGCTTTAATTATTCTGTCAAACCGTAGATCGGCAGCAAAGGTGACATGTGGATATTCCAGAATTTGTGCTTCCTGTGCCCCCTCAGAGGCCCTGCAGTGCCCCAAGCCCCCCCACATCCCAGCCCCAAAACCCCACCTGGGGAACCCTCCCAGCCAGGCTGCAGGTGCCTCAGCTCCACAGCACAAGATACACATTTATAAAGGCAGAGGAGTTGAAACAGCACTCATGTCTTTCCATCAGCACAAAGAGGCAGCAAACATTGCACTATTAATCTGCTTTTCCCTCTCCTGAACAGATCAAGCACAGCACTCTGCCTCACTTAGTCTGCAAAATCTCCTGCTTCCCCTTCTGACAGGACCAGCAGAGCATTTCATTGTCTCTGATAAATCAGGCACAGCTCTGGGGAGCAGCTGGGGCTCTCCCTGCCAGGGAAACAATGCCCTCACTGGGGATTTCAGTTCTGGGCACAAACCCCCTCAGCCTGGCAGTGCCCCGTGGCACACAGAGTTTGTGGAGCCATGGCATGGTTTGGGCTGGGAGGACCCCAAATCCCACCAGTGCCACCCCTGCCATGGCAGGGACACCTTCCCCTGTCCCAGGTGCTCCAGCCCCAGTGTCCAGCCTGGCCTTGGGCACTGCCAGGGATCCAGGGGCAGCCCCAGCTGCTCTGGGCACCCTGTGCCAGCCCTGCCCACCCTGCCAGGAACAATTCCTCATTCCCAACATCCCGTCCAGCCCTGCCCCTGGCAGTGGGAGCCATCCCCCTTGTCCCCTCCGTTCTCTGTCAGCTCCTCACCACCCTCAGTCCTGCCCACACCAATGAATGTGGTGACTGCAAAGGCAGAGAGTTAAAAAGCTGGGACGGGAGTAAAGCTCGTGGCATAACAACAACAGCAAGTCTGGTGATTGTGAATAAAAATTACCCCACAAAGGACATGAAAAAGGAAGATATTTATGTATCAGCTAGGATTTATCTCACTGAAAGAAAAATAGTGTCATAATCATTAGTGGGAATGGTGCTGGAATGTAAAATAAATTTGCATCAAGCCTCCATTTCCCTCAGTGCAGATTTTCCTTCTTGCCTTCACTTCAGAGAACTTTAAAGGCAGCTCTGCGGGTGGATGAGCCATTATTAGAGACAATTCTGCAGCAGCTCTGCTCCAGGATGCAAAAACCCCAACTCACAAATTCCACCCAGCACAGCTGTGGAGGAAGCAGTTTCCGAGTGGTGTTTGGAATGAACACAAAGCCAAAGAGGTGAAATTGCATTCGGAGCTTTAATATTAGAATTAATAATCTCAAATAACTAAAGGGTTTGGTGTTTTCCTACCTGGGTGCCCAGAGTTTATGGCACCCAGGGCAGGGGGCGATCCTGACTGGCCTGATGTCCCCTCCTGATGCCAGCCCCTGCTCAGGCACAGGGAGCTGTGTCCTGTGCCACAGCCCTGCAGCTGAGCTGCCACCCTTGAGGACATTGCCCTGAGCAACAAAGAAATGAACTTCATTGTTTATATGTCCACGTGCATGCAAATGGACATACTGTAAATATTCTCGTTTAACCTGCCAAAAGGTTTGCTGTATCTCAATAAAGACATTTTCATTTACAACCCAAAGGCAAAGCTGTTCATACAGATTTTTCGTTATGTCCCTTCCCTCTGCTGAGGAATAGTCAAAGCTTTATATTTTAATATTTTCCTTCACAGGCAGCCAAGTGCCAGCAATTATTGCAGATGTAGCAGGTATTTAAAAACACACACTGCAGAAATTAGCAGAACCACTACACTTTCGTTAGAAATTAGCAGAACCACTACAATTTCATTAGAAACTAGCAGAACCACTACGCTTTCATTAGTGAGTATCCTGGGGTGCTCTGTACTCCAGTTTTTCCACTGACATTCAATTTCTCACGCTGATTCTCTGGGAGCACTGAGTCCAACCACGGCAGCCCTGCCCCTGTCCCCAGTGCCACAGCCCCAGGGCAGTGAAATCCCCCCAGGATGGGCACTCCAGCCCTGGGCAGCTGTGCCAGGGCTGGCAGCCCTTTGCAGGGAGGAATTTTTCCTTCAGCCCCTCCATTCCCCCCCCAGCTCCGTCCCCTTCCCTGGACGTGCTCCAGCCCACACCCCAAATGCAGATTTTCTGCCTCCTGGGTGGATGCAGGAGATCTCTGCTGCATTTTGCCCATGGATCTCCCCACCTGGGCTCGGCAGTGTGGGAATTCTGCCGGTGCTGGAGTGCTGGAGCAGAGCTGCGTGTGCCCCTCTGGGCTGACCCTCATGGATGCAGGGGCAGGGTGCAGTGTGCTGCTCGGCTGCAGGGCTCTCCAGTGACTCCTAAACCTCTGCCTTCTTCTTCTACTGTAATGAATCCTAAAATTTCCAGTTGCATCCCCTGCTGGCCGTGCCCAGAGCAGACACAGCCAGGAGTGCCAGGGAGGGATGGACACGGACACTGGGTGACAAGGTGCTGGCCTCACCTGCTGTCCCAGCACACTGCACAGCCAGCACTGCTGATGGTGGCAGTCATTCCATCCCAGGGACACCTTCCACCCAGGCTGGGGTTTATAAACTCAAACACGCCAGGGCAGCTCAGCACAGCCACGGATGGCCAGGCTTGTTTATAAACTCAGCCTGCCCTCAAACACGCCAGGGCAGCTCAGCACAGCCATGGATGGCCAGGCTTACTGCTTTCCTTCCTTTATCGGGGGAGACTTCTGCTGCTCACTACAGCCAGGAAAAGTCCTGCTGCAGTTGCTGTGCCTGCACATCTGTCCCTCCAGAGGGAAATGGGGAGGACAACATTCCCCCAGCCTTCCTGCAGAGGAAGGAACATTCCCTCTCCCCCCTGTGCCCCCCTTGGCCGGGACCCCTGAGCCCCCCCAGCACACGAACAGGCAGAGGGAGGCTGGGGGTCAAAGCCACACTCCTCCAGGTCATGTCCCATGGAGAAACACCAGCTGAGGATGTAAATTGCTGGGGAAAGCAGGGCCCAGTCACCAGTTCCTTCCCAAAGGGTCGCTCCTGCAGCTCCTGTCCTGGCTGGGCTGCTCAGGGACTGTCCCTGCACAAAACCAGGAGTTCTTGCTCTGGTGTGCTTGGGGGGAAGCACATCAGCCCTGTACGAAAACTTCTGGAGCTTTTCCCACCAGAAAGCCCTTACACACGGATTTCCCAGTATTTGTGAGGGTGGAGAGCTGTGGGGCTGAGGAATCACAGGAGGGCAGGATGGGAGAGGGCTCACTGGGGGCTGCTGTGGATCTTTGGTGTTTGCTGAGCCCACCACCTCTGGGGACAGCCCTGGGGCAGTGCCAGGGGTGATCCCCACCCCAAAGAGGGGATTACACACCCAGCCAGGAGCTGGGCTCTGGGAATTCCAGCCCAGCCCCTCCCAGACCCCCCATTGCTGGGGGGTGCAGAGAGATGATGTAGAAATGCATTCACACACCTCAGGCAGAGGAAATGTTTAAACCCAGATGTAAAAACATCTTGGTTAAGGGTCAACAATTGATTAAAAATGAATTACTGGGAAATAAGCATGGGAAGGCTGCAGGGGGTTTGTTGGGTTTTTTTTAACAGTTCTTAAGTTCAGAATTTCCCTGTCATTGATTTGTGTCTTTCCTCAAAATGCTGCAAAAGAGGAAAAAAAGAAGGCACAACATTTGTTTTGTTTCTGCAAGAGAACTCAGCCCATTTCCTCTTAGGCCAGCCTAAGCCATGATCTAATTTCACTGGTTTGATATTTGCAGAGTGAACCAGGAACAACCCAAGTTCCTCCTGGCCTCAGGCAGGGCTGGAGCTGTTCCTGCATCCACCAGGATGCTCCCAGGGCTTGTGGGTCCTGGTGCTGATCTCCATTTGCAGCAGTGCAGAAGGACCCACCCAAAGGGAATGAATGACCATCAGACAGAAACCCTGAGTCTCTTTGCCATTTACTTTTTTCTGACTTCTTATACCAGATACAATTTTAGGGATTGAGAGCTGAGTGCAGCTCTTGTATTGTCCCTGTTCTAGAAAGCAGCAGAGAAAAAAAATATAGTTCCAATTATGAGCTTCCTCCATCTTTTTCACATGTAAATCTGTGAATTTTAAATCAAGTTTTATTTCTGTCCATTATAGACATCCAATAAATCTTTGATTTATATAACCAAATACGTTGTGGTATAAAAACATCCATTTAATTAACATTCCACAGTTTTAGGGGCCTGCACTCTCCTCCTGTTTAGGTGAATCATTAGGGGCTCATCTGTCATCGAAACTAAAATATTCTTTAAATTGAGATCCAATATTTAAGGCTGTTCACTGTAAATCCAACCCTGAAATATGTCTGTGCTCAGAAGCCTTTTGTTCACAAAGCCCTGACAATTAAAATGTGCTAATGACATGCAGATTATTACAAGCTAATCATGCAGAATTTGTGCTGATGAGAGTCTGAGCAGACACTGAGCCATCACAGAGACAGGGTGGGGGTGCTCTGTGAGATTCCCAATCCCGGGGGTGCCAAAGCCCCGCGGAGCCCCACAGGGCAAAATGTTTTAGGAAAGAAGAGGGCAAAGCCAAAGCCAGGAGGTGCAGGAGCTGGCTGAGGCCGCACAGCATCCCTGGTCCCCAGCCCCTCTGCAGCTCTCCTGCAGCCCCTCCAGGCCTGGCAGGGCTCTGAGCTCTCCTGGAGCTGCTCCTGTCCCACCCCCAGGCGTGCCAGGCTGGCAGCACCCCCAGAGCACCCCGAGCTGCGGCCAGCCCTGCCTGCCCTGCACGGCTGGAGCAGTGCCTGGCTTGTGGGGAGCCCTGCAGCCTGGGCTCCAGTGCAGCAGCAGCACACATCCCTGGGCAGCGCTGCCAGACCCTCTGCTGTGCCTTCAGCTCTGCCCTCATCCTTGCTCTGGGAGGAAAAGAGAGCAGCCCCACCACAAATGCCAGTTTTCCTCCCCGTTTTTACTGCCCCAGAAACTGGTTCTGTTCTCCTGTGGCTGCGAGTGGCTCAGCAGCAGGGACAGCCGGTTCCAAACACTTCCAGGAGCTTCCTGGCACGGAACCAGCCCTTCCTCAGATCCTCTCCTGGGCCTGCTCCTTCCATCCCTGTGGAGAACAGAGCAGCCCCTGGGAGCAGCCTGGGATGGAAGCTCCTGGGCAGCTCCGCAGGTCTGGGCACCTCGGCCTCACTCAGGCACAGCCCTCGCCTGTGGGAACACCCAGAACCTTCTCCTGGGCAGGACCCTGGGGCTCTGCACAGCTCCTGCCAGGAGGGGACAGCCGGGGGGCCGGGCTGGGAACGGGGACAGGGACAGGAGCGGGGACAGGGACAGGGACAGGGACAGGGATGGGGATGGGGACAGGGACAGGGACAGGAGCAGGGACAGGGACAGGGATGGGGACAAGGACAGCCACAGGGACAGCCACAGGAGCAGAGGGAACGGCCCCAGGCTGGGCCAGGGCAGCTCAGGGTGGGCACAGCAGGAATTTCCCCATGGAAAGGGGGATCAGGCCTTGGCACTGCCCAGGGAGGGTTGGAGTGCCATCCCTGGGGGGATTTCACAGCCCTGCGGATGTGGCAGCGGGGGACATGGGCAGTGGTGGGTGGTTGCACTGGATGTTCCCAGAGGGCTCTTCCAGCCTAAACTGTTCTGTGTTCCATGACCCTGGTGCCCCTCTGCTCCCCCGGGCTCCCATTCCCCTGCCAGCACGCAGGCAGGACATTTCGGGGGAAATCTGCAGGGCCAGGGTCCACCCCAGCCTCCTCTCCCAGCCCAAGGCAGGACTTCCCTGCTGATTGCCTTCTTGCTCTGAAGCATTAAATCCCTGATTTCACTCTCTTTTCTCTCTGCAATCCTAACTCTTGAGGCTGAGAATTTCTCAGTGTTTCTCCCACAATTTCTCTGTGTTAATCTTCCCTGCAAAACAGACCCCCATCCCTCCCAAAGCTGTGACCCAGCCAGAGGAACCCCCAGGGAAGGGCCAGAGCACAGCAGCTGAGCCAGGCACGGCCTGGGGCTCTGTCTGCAGCTCACAGAGCCTGACTCCTTCCCAGGCAGCACCCAGGAAATGGAAACTCTCACACAGCGTGGGAGAGGGGAAAAGTGAAAAATGTGCATGCTTCAGGCTCTGGTGGCACAAAAAATTACTGTGAAAAGTATTTGCAGTTGAGCTGATTAAGGAGCAATTTGTTTCCCTAATTATTTGTTAGTAATAAATGGTTAAATACCTCATTTTATAATAAAGCAGCTAATTTTCAGGGTTCTTTGCTCGATTTGTAGAGTAACAGATTTGTTTGAAGCAGTACATCAATGTGTTACTCTCAATAAATAACGTTACACGTTCTGTGTCCTCCAGAGGCTGGGCTGCATTTCCAGGTGTTTGTGGGGCTGAACATCTGCACCTGACCCTGTGAGAGAGCCCAGCACCACCAGGGCAAGGGGAAACCAGTCAAACACAGGAGGCAGGGCCAGAGCAGGGCAGAGATTGATAAATTATAAAGAATGGATTTGCCCGGGCCAAGAGCTGAGCCAGCAGAGGCACTGGTTTGTCTCTCTTCTCTCCAGTTTCCCTCAGATTCCCGAGGAGCTGCTGGGGCCAGGGGGGGAGCAGGGCTGGAGCCCAGGAGGGAGGGACAGCAGCAGGGCATTCCCTGTGTCCAGGAGCCCCAGGCCCTGCAGGGCTCAGCTCTGCCCTCCACCCTGGCCCTGCACTTTCCAGGCTCCAAGCTGCCACCCAGGCTGCTTGGCAGGAGGGCTCAGCCGTGGGGTTTGGAGGGGCACAGCAAAGCCAAGCCCCAGGTCCTGGCCTTGCCCCTGCCCAGCTGGGATGGACAGAGTGGGGAGGGCTCTGCAGGCTCTGGGGCACGGGGAATTAGACATTTTACTCACCCTTACTGCCAGAGGTATTTCTCACTGAGTCTGTACTAAAAGGAGACCAAATGAAGAACAGCATTTGGGGTTTTTTTGGGAAGCACTGACCAGAGCACATCGCAGGGATCAGGTCTTGCTCTGTGGCAGCTCAGGATGGGATCGCAGGGAGCAGAGGTCTGAAAACACAGCAGATGGAATTAAAATTGAGAAAGAACATCCAAACGTGGCCCAGAGAGAGCAAACACGGAGTTTTCTCTCTCAGACACTTTATTTCAGCAATATTGCCTAGCAAAGAGTCTGCACTGGGGAAGTCTACCTGAGAGACTTCTAGATTTACTGGAAGGCAGTCTTTGAGAACCCTGAATTTGGGTAGATTTGTTCCTTGTTTGCTGCTAATCATCCCCTTCTGGAGAGTTGTGGGGCTGCAGCAGGGTCACCAGAACCTGCCTGAATCCCAAAACAAGAGGCTGAGTCACACCAGCAGCCTGCAAAGCAGCAACGCCCCCACAGAGATGCCAGGACGACTAACGTGGGTTTGTGTTCTCAAAAGAAACTGCTCCCAGTTTGCCTCTAAATTGGCAGCGTGACAGTGATGTTTGAAAACTTGAAATCTTGATATTTAAGGTGTATTTTGCTGCCATGTCTCCGTGCCAGCAGCACAATGTGTGTTGGGCTGGAGCTGGATTTGAAAGGTCGAGTCAAACCCAAGCCCAAGGTTTAGCTGTGGATGGGGACCCTCAGTGAGTCATTCATCCTGAATTACACATTTGGCCAGCGTTTTATTGCATTAATCTAATGGCCACCCACTCACCATACCACCACAGGACCTGCCTCTCACAGCAGTCTTTCTCATGGGTCTTCCACACTAATGTGCAAGTGCGTCTGTATTTTAACACTTGGGGAGGGAAAAGCCAAGCCAGACCTGTGTGGAATTCCAATTCCCTGCCAAAACCTGGCTCAGTTGGCAGCGTGCAGCTTTAATGAAGGTTTTGTGATAGTTGGGAGCCTGGCACTCTGAGCAAGGCTGAATTTTAATTTTGAGTTGTTCAACAACAGAGCCAGGCACGCATTAACAAAAAAGCAATTACTCCTGACATCCCAGCACTTCCCCCATGTCATTCCAGAGCAGAAATGGGAGATGAATGGGGACTTCAAGGTACAGAATGGGAACTGAGGAGAGTCAAAGTGCTGCTTTTCATTCCAAAAGGGTGGGCCCAAGGTTTCAAAGCACAGGAGACACAAGGACAGTTAATGTTAAGCAAAGTTTGGGCTCCCACTTGTCCCATCAGTGAATTTTTCAAAGGCAGAATTAATGACAAACTGTCTGGGACAGGCGCTGACAGAGACCTTGGATATGTGGAACACTGAAAAAAATAATGTGCCTGTGGCTCTGGGCACAGAGCAGGGAAAAGGCTGGGGCAGGGACCGGGAGGTGGGGTGGGATGGGGTAAGGGAGTGGGATAAGGGGATGGGATAAGGGGATGGGATAAGGGAGTGGGATAAGGGAGTGGGATAAGGGAGTGGGATAAGGGAGTGGGATAAGGGAGTGGGATAAGGGAGTGGGATAAGGGAGTGGGATAAGGGATGGGATGGGATGGGATGGGATGGATGGGGATGGGGATGGGATAGGGGGATGGGATAATGGGATGCGATAATGGGATGGAGCAAGGCTGGGGTGCCAGGGAAGTGCTCATCCCCCTGTCTGTTCCCCTGCCCAGACACTCCAAAGTGTCCACACGACAGTAGGGACAAATACAATTTACAATTCCCAGTGCGTGCAATCCCATTAATTCATGCCATTGAGTGCCATCAGTGGGATGGATTAACGGGCTCTCCCTCTGATCTGCCGCCTGGAGGAGCTGAACTCCCGCAAGCACCTCCCAATTACAGGTGTATTCCTGGGAGCTTCAAAGGGCCTGCTTGGAGAAGGGAAGAGCTGAGGGTTCCAGGGCGCATCCTGAGCTGAGGAGGAGCTGGGTGCTGGCACCTCCCCACGCAGCCCTCCAGAGCACGCTGCTATATTTAGATCTGCTATCTGCATGTATGCATAATCAAGTGGCTGGCTACATTATTCACAGAAATATGCAAACGAGATTTACGTGCCGTGCATTTCCCTGGCTCTAATTTGAGAAATACGTTTGGGCAAATTCCGAGCGGGTTCTGGGAGGAAAACGAGCCAACCTGTAAACTGGAACAAAGTACACAAGTAATTCTTCAGGAATTATTACAGCCTCAGACTAACACAAACTGGGGCTGAGAGGCCGCTGAGGGAATAACCAGCACCACACTCACAGTCTTAATATTACTTAAAAGTTTATTCTCCTCACACTGGCCTGGCTTAGCACAGGAATCACCTAATTGTCTGATAAGTACATGCAAAATTACTTCTAGTGGGTGCCGTGTCATATGCAAATCGAGCCTGTTAGTGGCTTTTCAGTGATAGCAGTCAAAATAATTATATTTGCTGCTCACAGGAACAGCCACTGAACACCACTGGGCAAAATGAGGTTTTATGAACAAGATAAAAAAAAGGCAAAAAAAAAAAAAATCCGTGTTTTCTTTGCTGTTCAATATGCATAAAAGTACCTGCAGGAATATTGTGCTAAAAATCTGCCGAGCAGCCCCACAGAGCACACTTTTAATAACAATTGTATCATCACCCGCTAATCCAGAACTGACACTGTTTGTCCTCAGGTATTTGCAGCATTCTGCTTTATCGCTCCTGATTGGAAAAATGCAAATTATGCCTTTTCCCTTCTATTTTCTGTTCACATAGCAAGTGAGAAAGCCTTTCTAACTCATTAAAAAGCTCATTTGTCACATTCCTTTTCAATTAACTTTGCCCCTTTGTTTCCCATGTTTAATCCATTTCTGAAAGGCATTGCTCCCCACCAGCTCCAAACCCGTGCCTGCTGCAGAAGGGACTGATCCTGATCCTCTGGTGTCACAGGGAGCAAACCCTTCCTGCTCCCTCCTCCTCCATCCTGGACCATGGAGACCCTCTGCAGAGAGCCAGGGGGGCTCCAGGAGGAGCAGGGATGGAGCAGCTCTGCTGGAGAGAGGCTGGGACAGCTGGGACTGTTCACCTGGAGAGGAGAAGGTCTGGGGTGAGCTCAGCTGGCCAAGGTCTCCTCCTCCTCCTCATTGAGGATTTTTGGCAGCAGAGACCTGTCCCACATGGACACTGCAGACAGCTCAGGAAGAAATTTCTGTTTTAATACTGCTGGAAATTGGCTTTGTGCATTCCTTCCCTATTGGGCTTGTGCAGAAAAGGTCAAAGTTTCTTGTGAGCATTCATGAAATATTTGGTAGCCCTGGACAGAGAATACCTTTCACACAGAAAGCATCTGAATTAACCCCAAATCATTGAGCATACCTAGAATCTGCTAAAATGGAAATAACATCCACAGGAAGCTGCAAATGTTTGAACTTCTGGTGTCTCCAAGCTGCTGGAGATACCAAAGGCACTGAAACTGAGGCTCAGGTTTATGGGTAGCTCTGGTGCTAAATGAAGAAGTCTCAGTGCATCCACGCTTCACTGTTAGTGCTTTTAGACAACTCCTCTTTCTCCTCTCTGCTTCTTTGTCTCTCCCTGAGTGTTTGTGTGAAATTGCCTGTGAGATCAGCAGCATGAGGGACAGTTGTGTGTCCCCTGTCAATGCACACAAAGCTCTTCACTGAAGCCACAACTGGAAGCAGGATATTATTATCATTATTATTATTATTATTATTGTTATGGGACCACTCAGAAATGTTGGCTGAAACCTGAATCAGAAAATATTTTGTTCCTGTTCCTCCAGGATTTTTTCCCCCAAAAAGCTCAGTACAAAGCTGTTTATGGAAATTAATTCTAATGGCTTCATAGAATCTTCTGTTCCCACTGTAACACTTCACATTACACAAGTCTTGCCACAAAGGAGATAATAGGCATGGGATATATTGAATTAGTAGATAAAGTTCTTATCTGTTCCTCTACATTACTTCCCTGGGTCTGAAATGACAAGTCATAGTTATTAAAACCATGGCAAATTGCCTGTGATTAACAAGGAAATAAATATATTATCCTAATAGAATTATCTCCTCCATCTGAAGCCCATGACAATTTCTGACAATGTCCCTGAAAAACGCTTTGCATCCCAGTTACCCAGAGGTCTGAGGAGAGCATCCTGAGCCGTTAATGAACCGACCTTGCAATTAAATACATCCTTGAGCTGCATCCCTGCTGCTGTGGGGCACGGTGGGGCAGGGGGGAACTTCCTGAGGGGAAACGGGAGTTCAGCAGGGAGGCACGGGGTGTGAACAGCGGCGATTTACAGAAAAGGGTGCTGTAAATGAAATATGAGCTGAACGAGGGGAGATCTGGATGGGAGATTGGGAATTGGGAATTGTTCCCTGGCAGGGTGGGCAGGCCCTGGCACAGGTGCCCAGAGCAGCTGGGGCTGCCCCTGGATCCCTGGCAGTGCCCAAGGCCAGGCTGGACACTGGGGCTGGAGCCCCTGGGAGAGGGGAAGGTGTCCCTGCTGTGTCAGGGGTGGGATGGGTGGGATTTGGGGTCCCTTCAAACCCAAACCATGCCAGGATTGTGTGAAACACTGAGAACTCCTGGATTGTATGAAACAACAATAAACATTCCAAACTGAAAATTGTGTTTTTCTAAGTGGGGCATTTCTTAACCATGGGGGGTTCATAAAGTGCTCTCCCTGACCCACATGGTCTCTGAATCTCTTGGGCAGAGCCTCCTCCCAGCACAGCCCCGGGGGCTCCAGCTCCTGCACAGCCCAGGCCAGGCTGGGGCTCCAGCCAAGCAGCACAGCCATGTCACAGCCATGTCACAGCCATGTCACAGCCATGTCACAGCCATGTCACAGCACATGTCACAGCACATGTCACAGCACATGTCACAGCCATGTCACAGCCATGTCACAGCACATGTCACAGCACATGTCGCAGCTGAGACAGCCACGACACACAGCGTGCCACCAAACAATCTCAGAAGGCTTCGAGCATTCAGCCGTCCAGAGTAACATCATGTCACTCAAAAGGCTTCGAGCATCTGCCTTTCCTGTTCTGCACCCAGCCTTTTATCCCTGGTGTTCACACACTGCCCTGGGAGTCCTGTGTGCCCTCTGCTCCCTGGGAGTCCTCTGTGCCCTGTGTGCCCTCTGTTCTGTGCCCTGTGTGCCCTGGGTGCCCTCTGTGCCCTGGGTGCCCTCTGTTCCCTCCCACTGGGGATGAGCTGGGCCACAGCCCCATCCCAGTGACTCCAAACTGTGCCTGCACAGCCCCAGCTGCACCCAGCAGGTCCTGAGCGCTGGGCCCCTCTCAGAGCCAGCCCTGTCTCTGTCCAGGCTGGGTATCCCAGAGCCCTGGGCTGCCAGGCTTTTGGGAGGGGACAGGCTGACAGCAGCCCGGCCTGAGCAGGCTGGACACGGCCACCAGCTGCTCCTGGTCCCTCAGAGGGAGCCCAGCACAGAGCACAGAGCCCAGCTCAGAGCACAGAGCCCAGCACAGAGCCCAGCTCAGAGCACAGAGCTCAGCTCACATCTCTCCTCCCCAGGGCACCCTCCACCTCACCCAGCTGGCATCCAGGGGCTGGCATGCTCAGAGGGCAAAGCCCACTCAGGAAATCAGCAAAACATGATGTACACTGTTTGGAAAAAATCCTTTGTTTTAGAGGAAGGTGGTGCCAGGTAAGTTTAACAGCCAGCTCAACATTCAGGACTGGTTCCTCCAGCCTTATCAAGAGTGAAATGCTCTCCAGCACGGCTCTGGGAGAGGGGAGCCAGCACTGCTCCAGCCTGCAGCTGTTCAGAGCAGATACTCCACAGAGCATGCTGCCTCTGAGAAAGCTAAAGCCAAACTGTGTTATTGCCTGGAGGGAGTCCTTGTCTCCAGCCAGGCCTGTGGAGGGATGCTGTGAGCAGCAATAACAGCGTTTGTTCCACAGAAGCACGAGGAGTACTTTGGAAATGATTGTGAGGATGGGAACCCTGCTTTTCTGGGCACCAAACAAACACACAGCAACCAGTGTTTTCCTAACAACAGGAGATGAAAGCTGGAAATGGGAACTGCAGGGGGAGATGAGCAGCATCCTGCCCCCAGCTGCAGCAGGGCCAGAGTGGCTGCTCAGGCAGCAGCAGGAGCCAGGGCCCACCACGGCCAGCAGAGGATGTGTGGACCCCTCTCACTTCAGTTTTACCACTGGCAGTGACGCCTGCACGGGCAATAAAGAGAAAAGGAAGCCTGGGTGAGCCATGCCTTTGGAGAGCATGATCAGACATCAGTGGGAGCCACATGCCAGCACCCCAGGGTGCTGCAGCACCTTTGCCCTCCTGGCACTGCCCAGGTTTCCCGTCTGGGCTGAAAACCATCCATGCTGTGGCACACAAACCCTGCTTTGTGTTCAAACACCTCCTAAGTACAACCAAAGCCCTCACAGCAACTCCTTCCCCTGACAAATTCAGCTTTCCCCCAGCCAAGCCAGCCTAAAAAACAGCCTCTGCATTCCTTTCATGAGGCTTCCTTTAATATTTAGACCAAAATATTATGATTGTAGTTATTAATTAGGCGTTCCCTAAGTACTGTTTATCCTTGTATTTGAGTCATTTCCTGAGAGTATCTTCATGAAAGCACCTGCCAATTGGGCTCCAGAAATCGCACACAAACCCATCTGCATTTCCCAGTGCCACCCCTTCTGTTGTGAGCAGTGACAGCTCAGCTCAGTCCCCAGCAGCAGGCGGGCTGGCAGGGCTGGAGCACTGACATGCAAATCCATGTTTGCCCTCACCAGTGGCTCAGTGGGGAGGGACCCTGGAAGGCTCCAGCCACAGCTGTGCCCCGACACAGCCACAGCTGCAATTACAGCAGCAGGCACCACAGAGCAAGCCAGGCACAGAAACCCAGGGCAAAAAAACAAAACACACCACAACAGTAAAAAAACAACCCCACAAAAAAAAACAAAACTCCAAAAAACCAAAATACACAACAACAATTAAAAATAACAACCCCAAAAAACCAAAACACACAACAACAATTAAAAATAACAACTCCAAAAAACCAAAACACACCACAACAATTAAAAATAACAACCCCAAAAAACCAAAACACACAACAACAATTAAAAATAACAACTCCAAAAAACCAAAACACACAACAACAATTAAAAATAACAACCCCAAAAAACCAAAACACACCACAACAATAAAAAAAACAACCCCAACTCCCTAAACTCAGCAGAGAAAGGAACAGTCCTGTGTCTAATTCATCCCCTCAAAGTGCCACCCACCAGCACATTACTGAGCCAATGCTCCAAGTAACCTCTGCAATCAAAGCTAGTAAGGAGAATAAATGATCTAAAGAATGGATCCAAGATTAATAAAAGAAAAAAGCCATTCTAAGCAGAAGGTTTTGTTCTTTTATTTCTGTGTGTTGCTACCAAAGCAGCCCTGAACTGGAATGCCTTCACTGGAACGCCTTCCAGATCACCTGGCACTTACGGCTTAAAAACATTCCTGTGATAACACAAGTGTAAAATGGTTGTTGTAACTGTTTAATTACCCACAAGAGAGGTTATGCTACCATACCTTTTATTTTAATCACGGCTGTTGAAGTCCTGGGCCGTGAGCCTCAGCACAGAGGTGGAGCACAGGAGGCTCAGGGGACCTGAGGCTCTGCACAGCTCCTGCCAGGAGGGGACAGCCGGGGGCCAGGGCAGCTCAGGGTGGATATCAGGGACAATTGTCAATCCAAAAGGGCTGCCCAGCCCCAGCACAGCTGCCCTGGGAGGTTTGGAGTCCTCATCCCTGGAGGGATTCACTGCCCTGTGGATGTGGCAGCCGGGGACATGGGCAGGGCTGGGAATGGTTGGACTGGATGTTCCAGAGGGTTTCTCCAGCCCCAGTGCTTCTGCAGCTCTGTGATTCCCAGGGCTCCCAAAGCACACCAGAGTCACCCTGCAGGACAAGGCAGGGAGGCAGATCAGAGCCACAGCAGTGCCAGGGGAAAGGGACCTCTGGAGGTCACCCCGTGCAGCCCCGGGTCTGTTTACAGAAGGGTCTATTTAGAGATGGGTTTATTTACAGACGGGTTTATTTACAGATGGGTTTATTTACAGATGGGTCTATTTACAGACGGCTCTGTGTACAGAGGGCTCTGTGTGCAGACGGGCTCTGCCATGCAGCTCTCAGACATTCTGAGCAGGTGAAGGGTGAGGAGTGCTGCAGGATGCCTGCTGAGCTGCCAGGCTCAGCCCTGGGTCCAGCCCAGCCCTGCTGGCTCTCAGGCTGGGCTGTGCCCCGGCTCCCCAGGGTGGCAGAGCCCCGGGGCACTGGCTGTGCCTCCCCAGCCTCGGGACCAAGGACAGGCACCCCTGGGACAGAGGGACAGGCTGGGCACATCCCAGCCAGGAGAGCACCAGCCTGGGTCACACCTGCTCACCAGGGAAAGCATGAGCAAAATGAGATTGTCCAGGGGCTAAATGCACCTCCTTACCTCCACACACCCGAATTCCAAACCTGGGATGGACTTACAAGCTGTTGAAGCAGTGAGTTCTGTCCCACTCTCAGGAGAAGGGCAGCCCAGGTCAGCTGGGCCCTGGAATGAGGAGGGGATCACACACACAAAGAACATCCCCACTGGCTCAAGGTGGCACCTGCAGTTCTAAAACAGCACATTTGTATTGGATTTGTCAGCTATCCGTCTCCCAATCAATACCTCAAACACACGTTTACTGAAATTCATTTCTGTAGCAAATCCAAACATCATGTACACTGCAAAGTGGTTTTTTGAAGCAAAACATGATGTACGCTGTTTGGAAAAAATTCTTTGTTTTAGAGGAAGTTGTATTGTGTGCAAAAGGAAAATTAATATTACTGAAAACCTTTCCAGTGTGAGTTCTCTGGTTCTGAACAGCAGCTTCGAGCAAGGTGCCAAGGGAACACTCACAGAATTCCAAGTATTGTTTCAGCTCTGGGTGTGACTCAGTTTCTCCCTAAACCAAAATGACACTGGCTGCAACCTCGGCCATGGACATGCCACCTGCTCATCCAACCCCTCAATGGCTGAACAAATCCAGGTAGCAGCATAAAGTGGTATTTTAAATTCCATCGGCATGAAGGAGAGCTCATCTGGGGGTAAAGGACATTTGTGTGCACAGGCTGGGGCAGGGCTGAGGCTGAGAGCTGGACGAGAAAACCTTTGGGTGAACCACCAGCAGTGCTTTGGGAGAATGAAGCTCTGCAAGAGAACAGATCTTCTTTAGAAGGGGGAACTGAGACTTCAAACTGCCAGGGGCAGGGCTGGATGGGAGATTGGGAATTAGGTTGGATTGGGAAATTCCCAGGATCCCAGCCTGGTCTGGGTTGGGAGGCACCTTAAGCCCCATCTCATTCCAACACCTCCCACTAGCCCAGGTTGCTCAGAGAAGAATTTAACTTCATTTTCATGAGCACTTATCTTTCAATTTATCACCCAGACTTCCTTATTATGGCCCATTATGAGCTGAGCTTTATATAATTACCAATTTTTGCGCACAGTTCCGTCTCTTTCCCCTCGGCTCAGATAAGGACTTATCTCCCAGAAGCAGGCAGGGAGCATCCCTGGCCAGCAGAGCCCACGGCCCAGCTGCCCAGCCCAGGTAGCCCTGGCTGCTGCAGGGGCTCAGCCTCCAGCCCTGCTCCCCTCCACAAACAGCATTTCCTCACTGGAGCTGCTTTCTCCTTCTTCCCACCCTGGTGAGTGTCTCCATCTCCTCCCAGCCCTGCTCCCTCCACTTGTTTCTCCTCTGTGATGCAGTTTTCACCCCTCCTGACAGCCTGCAGCTCCTTCCCCTCCTCCTGTTGTTCCCCTGCATCCACAAACCCCCCCAGAGGCTGCAAAAGCAGCAGGTCCAGCCCTGCTGTGCCACAGGTGCCCCAGCTCCATCACCTGAGCCTGGCCACGTCTGAACCCTGCAGCACCAGCCTCAGCTCCTGCCCACACCTGCCAGCCACGGCAGGGCTGGGTCCTGCCCTGCCCAATTAGTTCTGTTTGTTAAATAAATTATTTTCTCCAGAAAAACGCACCTCTCAATCCCACTGCCCCTGTGCTGCTTCGCTGCCCCCGCTCCCGGTGCTTTTTAAGTGGTGTAACAGATTAATCAGTTCATGGCTCATTCCTTGGTCTGACATTCTGGATTTTTGAGGACTTTTATCAATGTTTAAGGTTGGATTGTGCAGAGGTACAAAGCACACAACACAGCAATAAGAAAACCTGTGAAAATAGTAGTTCACACAAGTCAAACAAATACAGCACGGCGAGAGCAAGGTTGGAATTAGCACTTTGGGTAAACCTAGGAAAAGATGAGATTTTAGATGGATTTTTGAAAAGGGCAAATTTTGAAATGGCAGCGTGGCGGAGGGAGGAAATTGTTGTGCTGGCTGCAAGTGTCACCTTGCAAAGGCAAACAGGGATGGTTCACTTTCCTTTAACCACAGAAACGTCCCCTCCATTCAGCAATTTAATGCCAGCCATGAAGGCACAAAGTCAGGGTTTTTACAGGTTGTTACTGTAAAAGGGCAATTGCTATCACAGCACTGCTGGGTGCTGTCTCAGGATGCAGATTTAAACATCCAGGGGCAGAAACAGTGAGGAAGGAATTGAGGAATTGAGATTAAACTGCCAGGGGCAGGGCTGGATGGGAGATTGGGAATTGGGAATTGTTCCTGGCAGGGTGGGCAGGGCTGGCACAGGGTGCCCAGAGCAGCTGGGGCTGCCCCTGGATCCCTGGCAGTGCTCAAGGCCAGGCTGGGCACTGGGGCTGGAGCACCTGGGGCAGGGGAAGGTGTCCCTGCCATGGCAGGAGTGGCACTGGTGGGATTTGGGGTCCTTCCCACCCAAGCTGGAGCTGTGGCACCACACGGGCACGGCAGCTCCTCAGGGCCAGGCAGGCTGGGCTCCACACAGAGCTCTGCCCCCCCTTCAGAAAATATCCTGGAATTCCTCAGAGATCACTGCTTGAAATGTCACCAATTCAGCCTCTGCTCCACTGCTGGCTGTACACTGAGCCCAAATGCTTTTTTCCTGTGTTCAGAACTGCATCGGTTAAAGCAGCTCTGCGTTTTATCCCACTATTGAAACTGTTTGATAGGATCAGCTTTATTGGCTTGTCTTTGCTGTTTTAAATTAGATTTGTTTTCCACACACTCTCTGATCCCTCAGAGTTTGCTCAGAGTGTTCCAAGTTAAACCTTCAAAGAGACATTTTTTGTGTAACCCAATCCTGTTAGCTCTTGGTGCTTTGGTGTTTGGGCACTTTTAACCCCCAAATGAAGCACCTCAACTCAAATACTCTCCCTTTTCCTTAAATTAATCCTGTTAGCCAGCATGAAGGTAGGAGCATCAGGTTTCCACATGACCCTCCAAATCAAGGCACCAGCTGGGCAGAAATCCATTTCTGAGAAGCCACATGAGCATCCCAGGCTGGGCTCCGTTTGATCTCCCATGCCTGCCACAGATAACAGCTCCCTCCACAGCCATCACAGCACTCCTGGCCACTTCTCCCTCTCGTTTGTCACTGTGCAAACTGAAATTCCCCTTCTCATCTCCTCTGATGAACCAACGGTCTTTGGTAATATTTCTCTGCGAGTTATTTTTGCTGCAAGTTTAAAGACATCTTTTATTTTTAATGCCTCTGCAATTCTCAATATGTTCACTGGCATTTAAACTCCCCGAAGCCGGTGGGAAGATGAGCTGTGCTTTCAGGGAGGCAGCGCTGGCCATCTGTGTGCGAGGGGCTTGTTTTGAAACAGCAGCTCCGGGTGCTTCAACAACTGCTGGGAGCCAAGGGTGCCTCAGCTGCCAGCCTGCTGCTGCCAGCCTGCAGCTGACAGCCGCGGGCACTCGGAGATAAGCTCAGCTTAGCCAGGCCTGGCCGGGCTCTGCAGCCCGGCCCTGGATGCGCTCTGGGCTCAGGAGCCATCCCCTCACCCCGGGCTGCAGGGGTTTCCAGGGTCCCTCCTGTTGTTTCCACACCACACCTGGTTTTTTGTGGGTTTGAATCCCTGATGACACAAAGCAAAGCCGGGAGCATCACGTTGAGGATTCTGAAATAAGTCAGGTACCTGCATTTGCTGGTAAAATAAGTAACCATCCCTTTCTCCATCCTTCTGGGCTGTCCAGCTACAACAGTTGAGTTGCAGCTGGCCTGAGTTTTGCTCCCACCAGAACCAAAAAAATATGAGTTTCTGAAGAAGTGGCTGTGGCTCCGCTCCACTGACACCTGAGGGCTGCAGAGTTTGGCTGAAACAGGAGCCACGGGAGCGCTGGAATCAAACCAATTTGGGAAAATGAGGAAATGAAGGGGGAAAAGGTCAAACTCCCCTTAAGAGGTTATTAACTTGTAGCAGTTGTACTGGCAGGGCTACAAATCCAGGCTGCAGGAGCACCTGGGATCACGCGCCAAGCCCGCCCGTGCTGCTGCAGGGATGGAGATTTGTCGGCCCAGTGAAGCGTTAGCGCTCAAATAAATGAGCAGTTTATTGACCTTTGGGTGGCTGAGACCCAGCTGAAAGGCAGAACCACTCCTGGAGCAGGCAGGCCCTGGGGCTGGGCAGGGAACGAGCCCTGAAGGGCACGGGGAGCACGGGCAGCTGCTCACAGCTCCTGCCAAGCACCCACAGGTGCCCTCTGCCCACCTGGCTCACCTGGCTCAGCTGGCTCCTCACCCCCCTGCTCTGCTCCCTGCCTGCTCTGCAGTGCAGGGGCTGCCAGAATTCTGGGGGAAAACAAGCAGAGCTGTTATCTTCCCACCCTGAAAGCGGTTCTGGCCTCCCAGTGGCGTTCCCATCTCTGGAGTGCCCCAGCACGCGTGGGGATGGGGCTGGAGCTGACCATGGCCAGTAAAGGTCTCTTCCAGCCTCAGTGATCCAGGGGTTCCAAGGTGCCCCGAGCAAACACCATCAGGCAGCACCTTTGGAACTCCCAAACCCATACTGAGGGTTGTAGGGCCCAGCGGAAAGGACTCCTTCCAAACAGT